ATATATATTAAAACTAAAACAATGGTCAATTAATGCAACAACACGTTTACTGTTTTTAAATTACTCAAACAGATTGAAATACAATGTTTTGTTCACATGATATCTGGATGTTTAATACCTAAAATTTCAGTTGGTATTTTATCAACAGAATAATAAATTTATAAAGCTTCATTATATTTTCCCATACTGTTCAAGCAAAGTGCTATGTTATGTTTAGTTGTTTTTGTATCTGGATGATTAATACCTAAAATTTCAGTTCGTATTTTATCAACATAATAATAAATTTCTAAAGCTTCGTTATACTTTCCCATATTGTTCAAACAAAGTGCTATATTATGTTTAGTTGTCACTGTATCCGGATGGTTGATACCTAAAATTTCAGTTCGTATTTTATAAACTAAATAATAAATTTCTAAAGCTTCATTATATTTTCCCATTTTGTTTAAACATAGTGCGATATTATTTTTTACTGACATTATATTTGGATGGTTCATACCTAAAGATTCAGTTCGTATTTTATCAACAGAGTAATAAAATTCTAAAGCTTCGTTATATTTTCCCATATTGTACAAACAAAGTGCTATATTATGTTTTGCTGCCAATGTATCTGGATGGTTGATACTTAAAATTTCAGTTCGTATTTTATCAACAGAGTAATAAAATTCTAAAGCTTCGTTATATTTTCCCATATTGTACAAACAAAGTGCTATACTATGTTTTGTTGCCATTGTATCTGGATGGTGGACACCTAAAATTTCAGTTAGTACTTTATCAACAGAATAATAAATTTCTAAAGTTTCGTTATATTTTCCCATATTATTCAAACAAAGTGCTATATTATGTTTTGTTGCCAATGTATCTGGATGGTTGATACTTAAAATTTCAGTTCGTATTTTATCAACAAAGTAATAAAATTCTAAAGCTTCGTTATATTTTCCCATATTGTACAAACAAAGTGCTATACTATGTTTTGTTGCCAATGTATCTGGATGGTGGACACCTAAAATTTCAGTTCGTATTTTATCAACAGAGTAATAAAATTCTAAAGCTTCATTATATTTTCCCATATTATTCAAACACTCTGCGATATTATGTTTAGTACGAAGTGTGAATTCATTATTTTCACCATAAATTTCTGTATTAAAACGTTGAATAGCTTGTAATATTTCGATTGTTTCTTTAAATAGTCCTTTACATACTAATAACCTTTTAATAGAAGTTGTCATAAGGTGGAAGGTTTGCACAAGTTTTTTTTTATTAGTACGAAACATATAAATAAAATGATAAACAAAATGGTTTCCATAATCCATGTGACTTTTTACTTCGTTCAATTCAACTTTAAAATAATTCTCTATTAGATCAAGGTACATATTTGTACTCGATCTTCTCTTTTGAAAACATCTACATGACAACTGTGTAAGTTCGTGTATTGCATATTTGTTATTATAAAAACAGTTTAGTAAAGAATAACTCATTAGTAATTCAATTGCTTCATCTACTAAATGGTCATCGTTTATTTTCATATGATTTGAGATATTGGTTATAAACTGTTTACTGATGTTTTGACCGTCGCAATGAGATAAACAGTTTAATATTTGAAATGAAAGATCTTTAGATTTTTCTAATTTTATTAAAATTAAGTTAATTGCTTTCATTGCAGACTTTGATACTTCTTCAGTCGGAAAGTTATTCGTGTCTAATATTTCTGATGGTTTTAATCTATATCGATCTATGTATTTTTCTATCGATATTTTATGTATATTTATATATTTTATTGCCTGAGTAATTGCAAATGGATGATAACCAAGTTCTTTAATTAAGTTTTTTATGTTTTCATCGGTGTTTTCTTTAATATTATTTTTTACATAAGCTAATGCTTCCTCTAAAGAAAAAATATCAACGTGTATTTTATTTACATCATTCGTCCATGTTCTCCATTGGGAGGTAATCAATGTAAATGAATTCGGTTTTCTTGAAATGTATATTGATAAATTTTTAACACTTTTGTCGTCAACATTGTCAAAAATATATAAAGTATTTTCGTTTTTATAATAGTTGTGAATTTTTTCAACAATCACTTTTATATTAAAATAATCGCCTTTCGAATCATGAACCTTGAATCCTAATATTTGACATTGGTTTCTGAATGAATTTTGTAACTTTCTAAATGCTGCGTCAATCCAAACAAAGTTTTTATAGAAATTATAACTTATTTCACAGTATTTTCGGGCAATTAGTGTCTTTCCGACACCCGACATTCCATATAATACTAAAGTTGACTTGTTTGCATCTTGTAAAAAGTAATGTTGAATTTCACGTAGTATTTTGTCGCGTGGAAAAATATTTTCTGAAAATGATTGACTACCTAAAGTTAAACATACAGTTAAATGTATTACTAAAACTCAACTAAAATAAATTTAATATTATATAATACTTAGTAAAAAAGTTTAAATAAATTTTTCTCTTTTTTTCAAATGCAACGATTAGCGTATTAAGTCGAATACTAAAAAAAACGTCTTTATACTTAAAAATTTATATATTTTTTGTATTCAGTTTTATGTTATACTATAACAATTTTATACATTTAGAAAACCTTTTGAAAACAAAACTCAATAAAAAGTAATTTGTAAACTGCTTGAATTTTTGTTACTCTAGAGAATAGGGGCAAGTCGAGTCGAGTAGCCCCGGACAGTGGGTAATTCCGGACACATTATGTAAATTTTAAACTAAAGAAGCTGTCACTTATAATACTATAATAACATTGTTTGAGTGAAAATATATCATATGCTTTAAAACCAGTTTATTTTAAAACTTTCATTTACTGAATTTAAAACTAGTATTTGTGAATGAGGTACAATCGGGTGGTATCAAAAACATGTTTGGAGGGTGGTTCCGGACAACTTTTTACATATTAAAAACAAACCTTCAACTAGTATATTCACAATTTAACACTAAAGATTAATTAAGCACTAAATTTCATTTTCAACTGAATTTTGGAGGTTAAAATTCGACCAATAGAAGAAGAAAAAAAATTGTTTGTTACGTGTGTTCTACCAGCCCGTAACACAAATGTTTAGATTTTCATAAAATTATTATTTTTGTTTCATATTTGTTTCTTTTTCGATACGAATTCTAAAAATTGTACAAATTGTTTAATTAATAAACAAAAAAAAAAGTAGATTTAATTATTAGGTTAAAGAAAATTATTTTATGTTTATGCTTATGTCAAATAATGATGCTTTACAATGAATTGCGATGATTGGAGGCTGGGAACAAAAAATTTCTTAAATTTAATACCTTTCACCACCCCAAACATGAGGGACAACAAGTTGATAAAATATTTTTTGTACTATTTTTAACTAGACTAATATTCATCAATAAATTTTAACTTTCATAGCATTATTTCTCAGCGTTCAAAAATATGACCATAAAGTTTAAACCCACCTCAATTAAAGGGGTTACAAATTTTATATGGTCCTAATTTTTTAACGATGAGAGACTATGAATACAATGAAACTTAAAGTTTATTGAATTTAAGTCTAGTTAAGAATAGTATAAAAAATATTAGCTTTAGCTTTTTAGCTATTAGATTTAGCTTTCTTAATCGGTATTAAAATCAAAAGTATGTTTGATAATACAATGTTTATTAGTTTTTATGTTACATATTACAGACCTACATTATTTTAGTAAAAAAATTCCTAATTCTGGTCAGTAAAAAACGCCAACCTCGTTCCTATGTTTTATGGTAAGACCTTTGTATCAATTTTTGCCAACCTGATGCCGGCTTTTAAAAGATTGAGGTCAGCAAATTTTTCTTAATTCCGAGGGTCGATATATATATATATATATATATATATATATATATAATATATATATATATATATATATATATATATATATATATATATATATATCTTATATATATATATATATATATATCTTATATATATATATATATATATATATATATATATATATATATATATATGTATATATATATATATATATATATATATATATATATATATATATATATATATATATATATATATATATATATATATATATATATAACATTGCGATTATTAGTATTTTTATGCAATTTCAATATTTACATTTAAACCTGTTTATATTTGTCCTTTTTGTTGTATAAATTTATCTATACTGTATGGATTCCAATAGAATCGTATGTCATATAAACATTTATTCTGAGTTTGTACTGTCTTCTTGTGTTCACGTTTTAAACACAAACAAGTAATAACATGTATACATATGTGTTTTAAATTAGAACATATATAAATAAGATAGATAATTAGCAAAACTGAAAAACCAAATTTGCAAAATTAGAACTAAAGAGTTATGCATATGGTCTGTGCATACGGCTACCTCAAAGTTTAAAATGTAAATCAACCTGAAACTTGAAAAATTGATCATAGACCAACACAATCTTAACTATTCTAGACAAGTATTTAAAAAAAAAAACTTACATTGAGCATTTTTATACAAGAGGTTCAAAATTATTTCAATACTTTCTTTTCACTACCTATTGAAACAAGTATTTTTTAAAATAAAACACGTCTGTCTAAATAAAATAAGTTTAATATCACTGTATATTGAAAACTTTGATATTATTTATTTTTAATAAATTGTAAATCAGGAGCCTTACATAAAATATTTTAGAGTCACGTAGGAAAATATTCTTGTGCCAGGTGTGAAGTTACATCAGCTATTGCTTCTGGAGATCTCAGAAATATATCTCTAGACGATTAGTATTCTAGTAGATAAACTATATTACGAGGCTGGATTTCCACACAAAAGAAGACTGCAATGCCTTGAAAAAATTTAAGACATAGCAGCCTTCTTTAATGTCTGTAAAAAAAAACTTGATAAAGCTTTGTCTTGAAAAATTTTAAAATTTGTCAGACTTTAACTAAAACTTATTTTAAAAACAGTGGGCGGCCAAATTATTAGTTACACTTGTAAAAATTATTCATATTAACGGTTATAAGCCCTTTTCTGTATTGTTATTTTTAATTTTTATATAAATATTAGTGCTCCTAGCATAAATAAACATATTTCTATATAAAGTAAAACATTTTAAACACTATTACTAATTTTAGGCATTTATTTAAGAAAACCCAAAGTAAAAAATATTTTTTAGTATTTGGTTGGACCACCTTTTGCATAAATTACTGCTTGTATCCTTCTTGACCTATTTTGGATGCAACTCTTTACATTTGCTTTTAATTCCTGATCAATATGCTGGGCATTACTAGGTGCCTATCTGAGAATTTTTAGTTAAAGTTTAGTGCTTAATTTTAATAGTTAGTTAAAGTTTAGTGCTTAATTATCTTGGTTTTTCAACTATATTGGGTTTGAGTTGGGAGAGTCGCTAGGCCATGGTAAAACAGTAACATTTTTTAACTCTAAGTATCTTGTTACTCTTTAGCTTTATGGCATAGGACAGAATCATGCATAAAGATACACTTGAATGAATCAGGAAACCAACCATTTAACTTAAGAATTAATTTGGTAGCTAATATTTTTGTATATTAACCCTTGTTCACCATCCCTTCAACTATATAAAGAAGGCCGCTGCTCTTACCACTTATAACTGACCACACCATTACCTTTAAATGGTGTTTTACCGTCTCCATAACACAGTCTGGGTTATCTTTTTTTCTTTTCGTTGCCTAACAAAAGAAGACTATTAATAGACTCTAAGACTTATCTAAGAAACACACCTGAAAACAATTAAAAATAATAATATAAATCCTCATATAAATGTTTTAAACAGTAATGCTGTTACAATAAACAATTAAACTTTTTTTTTATATATTAGATTCTCCATTTTGTATTTACTTACACTTTCCTAATCTTTAGCAGACTTACGTAGGTGTTGTTTAGCTAAGTGAGACGTTTTTATCGCTGGTGTAAGTTTAGGTTTCCTTGCAGATCTGAAGCAATTAAATCCAATTTCTGCTATTCAACGACTTGTAGTTCTGTGAGAAACCTAGATAACGATTTCTTGTATGATTTTAGTAATTAATTTTATACTTTTTTTTGGTTTTCACAAATGTAACAAATTGCCTGTTTATCTATTAGGGTAGTGATGCGTTGTCTTACACATTTTCCATTTCTGGCACTTTGTACAGGTATTTTTTTATTGAGTTTACCTTTGATTCTGCTTACTGTCATCACATAAACTTTCACTAAATTTGCATTTTTTTTTGTGAGTGGTTTGAATGTTTAAATTAAGCAAATATTTTTGAAATTTTTTCGTTTTATAAATTGTTTTATAAACTTTTTCCATTTTTAAGCACTAAAGTTCAAATATTTTTAGTTAAAATTTAAATTTAAAATTAATGTAAAAAAATGAGTCAGAGTCACAAAAACATTGAATTATATTTTGAAATTAAATTTTTTTTTTATTACACACGTTGTCACGCAAATAGAAATTTTGCAAAGAATATGCGAAAAGGCACATTTCTCAGGTTCAAATTTGTTTGTTTAATATCCACATTTAATTCCAGTTTTTGTGAAAAATCAATAATTAATATTTCTAACTAGCAATAAATAAGTAATAATTAATATTTCCCACTGTAGATTATTGTATACTTTCCCACTGTAGATTATTGCCATACTTGATCAAAAGAGAAGTAATACTAATTGTTTCTTTGAGATGCTTTAGATAGCTAGATGGTGATTTTGCTATAAATGAATGAGAAATAATTTTATCAAGTTTTTAATACATTTCTCTTTGAATTCATTTAGGAGAAGTTTTATTGTTAATAGTTCAGTCCTATCTGTCATTGTTCACTGTTTGAAATCCACTGACTGTTCATTTTGATCTTAGTTAGAGTTAAATGTTATACCTTTACCAAAACTCTAAATGCTGATGGGCCAGTAAATCATATATTATCATTCCTAACCAATTTGTGGCCTGAGTTTGAGATGTGGGTTACAAGTTTAGGATGTTTAAAAAAGGATATCATTGTAAAAGAAATACTTCAAAAAGAAAACTAGAAGAGTGCCGTGAGCTGGACAATCTGTTTCTGGTTGATCTAATCCGGGTGGCCACTCAAATTTGTAAATCACTAGAGTAAAATATTCAGTATATGCACAACTTAAATTACAACTTGCATCATCATCATCATCATCATCATCATCACCATCATCATCATCATCATCATCATCATCATCATCATCATCATCATCATCATCATCATCATCATCATCATCATCATCATCATCATCATCATCATCATCATCATCATCATCATCATCATCATCATCATCATCATCATCATGATGCAGCCATGCACAACTTGGTACAGCATTTACAACTTGGTCATTATAAAACATGTAAACTTAAAACTAATTAGTAGAAAGTTCTGAAATCATGTCTAAAAAAAAATCTTTTTCTTTTACTTCTTTAATAACTTACACTGCAAAAATATCTTGCCCTTTTTTTGTTTTTATTAATATTGTCTGTCCCAATACATTTTATTGTATTTCACAATAATTTATACGTGATTCTTCTCTCAAAGAGATGTTTAGTAACCTGCAATAACAGAAGCTTTTCAAAGTTATAATATAATAGTAGAGTTTGTTTTGTTTGATTTTTGAAGCACATGTTTTGCAATATGTATGTTTATTAGTTTTCATGAAATATTTGTAATATACCATGAAAATTGATAAACATTGTAAACAACCCTACTTTTTATTTTATTACTGACTAAAGAAAAAAAACGAAATTTTGCAAAAATATTATTAAAATTTTTGCAGATTTAAAACCAAAGAGAAGAAATCAAATAAAACATATTTCAAAAAAACTTTATTATATATATATATATATATATATATATATATATATATATATATATATATATATATATATATATATATATATATATATATAAAAATAAAGTAAATTAATGCTAAAAATTATGCTAATATTTGTCTGAAGAGGTCAGTTGAGTAGCATTCATTACAATTATGAAATTTGTTTTTTTTTTGTTTTTTTTTGAAATAAATTTCCTATTAATTAAAAAATGAAAATATGTATCTGAAAATATGTAGATTTAATTAAGTATTACTATTTAATCATATGCTTTGAATTTTTCTTGTTTCAATACTAAAACAAAAAGACAGTGTTGATTGATTATGTAATGAATTATGCTTGGGTGAGCTAAAACCTAAATATAAAAAGAGTCCTCTCTAACTACTTGGCTTTTGATACAATATGAAGATTATATGTAACATGAGTATTTGATTTCAGATTTAGATGATCTACTTGAGGTTATATAAAAGACCCTGTCAACTGTCAAATTTCTAAAACTGTCTAAATTTCTAAATTTTAAAAACTGTCAAATTTCTAAGGTAAATGTCCTTAAATCCTTTTTAAAATGCTTAATATTTAATTTAATTAATTAATTTATTTAATTCACCTCCTCAAAGCCGAGAAGGCCACTACAGACGTGGAGGCTACTTATTTGTGGTTATAACCCTCTTTCAACTCTATAATTCCGAAACACGAACCTTGATGAACAAGACCGCTGCGCGGAGAAACGAGTTGAGCGCGGTACTACCAGGGACGTGGTGGGATTGAACTTGGAACCACTCGTTTATGAAGCGAGCGCTCTACCACTACACCACTACCGCATTACCACTACCACATTTCTTAAATGCAAATACATGTTACGCACTACCACATTTCTTAAATGCAAATACATTTTACACTAGAAGATGTAAAACTTACTTTTAAATATTTTTCATTCTATGGCATTTTCTTATAACACCTAAATTTTAAAAGTTATTTACCAAATCCTGAAAACAAATAAACTTTACTTCCATTATTTGACTCATTTATTAACAATTTGGTTGTTTTTCAGATTCATAATTTAATAAACACCATCAAGATGTCATTTATGATAAAAAGGAAAGAGAACAAATATATAAGACAGATGCAACAGGTTATATGAAAAAAGAGGTAAACTAATTATTTTATGTGCATTAAAAAGACCACAAGAAACTAGCGGAAATTGAAAAGAAGTGTTTATATAAAATGAAAGATTACATAAAATGTATTTACTCAACTTTAATTTTAAAATTACATTTAATATCTAGTAGGTGAAGATATAAAAGATATAAAGAAGATATAAAAATATTTTATAGAATTTTTCTATTTGAAGATAAAAAAACCAACAGTCATAGCTACTATACTTTTATGCAAGTTCCTGAAACACATTGTGAAGCTTGTAAACGACCAGGATTGATATTTGACCGGGGCTGGCGCCAGATTTAATAAAATATAGCTGGGTTTGTGACTGTGGCTGCATAAACATTTATAAATCATAAAGTAAACTTTTTTTTTCAAAATTCATGTTGTATTTTGTATATATATGCATATATAAACACCTTTATGATCAACATAATCTTCACAATCATCATTACTATCATCATCATCATCATCATCATCATCATCATCATCATCATCATCATCATCATCATCATCATCATCATCATCATCATCATCATCATCATCATCATCATCATCATCATCATCATCATCAGCGGCTGTAGCCTTCCCTTTTATGCTGTTTCTCTAATCATGTTCAATGCTCAAACAAGCTATCATCTCTATTACAATAAACTAAAACTCATTCTTACTTGGCTTCTTATTCAAAAAGTTGCATCTTTTTACTGTATCTGTCCAAATTTATTAAATAATGGCACTAATATATGCTAGAATTTAATAAATAGTAAATGTAAGTATAAAATTATAATATATAAAGAATTATAAATTTTTTCTAGCCCTGGCTATCAACCCCTGCTAAATCTTATAATATTGCCAGGGCCGGGTTTGCAAAAAGTCTCATTTTTAGCCAAGGCCGGGGCCAGGGCCCTGGTTACTTACTATCTGAAGCCAAATTCAGAACGTATTGTAAAGGTTTTAAGCAGAACTTATTGTAAAGGTTAATATAAAAATTTTCTAGTTAGTTTGATATTAAGATTAATAAATAATTAACTGACGGTCTTAGAAACCTATTTAATATGATTCAAAGAATCAATAAGTTTCCTGATTCAAATGTTGAGAACATTTGTTATAAAATTATAGATATTATAAAATTATAGATAATATAACAACAGTTATTTTGCTCATGGTGAAAATATTCTCATTGGAATGTTTGCTTGCAAGGATGAAGTGGTCAGAAGGATAGCAGTTAATTAAATTTTTCATTTAAAAGGCCTCTTAGTAAACATTCATATTGAAGATGATTTTGAAAGGGGAATGGTTGAGAGTGATGATGACAATGAAGCTAATGTTAGGGAAAGTAAATATCCATAACAAAATAAAAAATATCCAGAACAAAAGCTTTCTAAAGCTCAAGATTAAGTTAAAAGCTGTATGCTATTATAAAGTGACCCGCACACAATTCCACCCATTTTACTGATTAAAAAAGATAAAATACTTGAATTTATCAAAAACCCACTTAAGTTAAGATATAAGTGTCAAAGCCAAAATGTTAAAAAACATGTAAAATATGTTACAGAAGCTTCAGCGTATGAGGTCAGGCACGATAAGAGAGATGGAGTAATTCAAAACAAAATTAGGTCCAGGAAATTAATTAAAAACTTCACATCAAAAAGTGATTTTATATTTTTATGCTTTTTTGTATGTTTTATATATATATAAAAATATATATATATATAAAAAAAAAAAAAAAGAGTAGCCTCCTTGACTGTAGTGGCTCCCTCGGGCCTTGGGGAAGCGAATAATCAATATATATATATATATATATATATATATATATATATATATATATATATATATTTATATATAACACTACAACTGCAAGGATTTCTTGATAGTTAACTTGAATATATATATGTAGTATATTGATCTGTTGTCATATTTGTGTAATATATGCTACTATTGAAAAACAATTAAAAATTTAGACTTATAGCAATAATTTATTGGGTAAAGTGGGATTATAAGATCAGAAGGTCAATTTTAAAATAGTCTTAACTAATTTATTTTATGTAGACTCAATCATTTTCAGAAAAAACTTCTTTTTTTCAATGTTCTAAATTTTATTCTTTATCATTTGGTACCTAATTGATGCTTGTATTAAATCAAAAATAAAAACTAAAAACAAAATTAAAAATTAAAAATGGTAATTTACTAAAGAAAAAAATTAAAAAAAAAAAAAAAACTTAATTCTTCTTTTATAACAAATATAATTTTATATTACTTTTAATTTTTTTTTCAATTTTATTTAAATAAAATTCTCACCCTTTTTAAATTCTTTTTTTACATGACTTGACAGATCAGAAACCATAGTTTCATATCTAAACAAATTTGTTTGAAAAATAATTTGTCTTGATTTTTTGAAGTGATTGTGATTATATATAGAAAAAAAAATGAATAATAATATAAGTTGTACACCTATAAAATATATACATATATACATATAATATACATAAATATATACATACTGTACATATGAAAATATATATGTGATGCAAACATTATTCTAGTTAAACATTTATTGGCTTTATTTTAAAAATGTTCCTTTTCAAATGCTCCTTGTTATAAGAAAAATATTTTTTTTCAAAACATTTTTTACATATATGCATAGCGCGCATACCTTGGCAGAATATAATGAGAAATTTCAAAATTCTATTTCTGCAAACAAATACACACAAAAAAATGCTCAAACTGAAAAAATGAGAATTAATGACAAATTTTAATATTGTATAAATTATATTGAAAAAAAAAAAAGCATTATAAAATATCATTTAAATATATTACTTAAATATATTAATTGTAAATATATATTTACAATTAATATATTTAAGTAATTTATTTAACAGGTTTGTTACATCAGAATGGCTATTAAAAAGTAAAGCTGTACTGTTTATTCTGAGTATATTTTATATATATATATATATATATATATATATATATATATATATATATATATATATATATATATATATATATATATATAAACAATTTTAAAAAATGTATTCTACAAAATAGAGTGCTCAATGTTCTTAAAAAACAGAGCAATTATAAATTAGTAGAATATCACCTAACAAAATTTTTTCTTCATTTTTTTCACTGTGTTTCATCAACAAAGACTCATCAGAAATATATATATATATATATATATATATATATATATATATATATATATATATATATATATATATATATATGTATATATATACATATATACATATATATACATATATACATATATATATATATATATATATATATATATATATATATATATATATATATATATATATATATATGCTTTTCTTTTTACCCCTCTGCTAAAATAGTTGTTATTGGTGACTTTTTTGCTCATAAGCTAAATGGCTTGGCTCTAACGCCACTGACCCTCATGGCAGTAAAGCTCAAAACTTCTGCATTTTTAAATCTCTTACTCAGTTAACTTTGTGAATTGTTTTCCTGTCAACCCTGTTCATATACCTTCACTCCTTGATTTGTGTCTTGTCTCTGACCTAGCTTGTGTTCGGTTTCTCTTATTTCTTCATTAAATAGTTCTTACCATGCACTGATCCCTACAAATCTATAATCTCATAATTCTACTTTGAACTAACCTTATTACACTACTCATCACACTCCTTACTTCTCCCCTAAAGCTGACTAGAATTCTTTTTGTGATTTTCTTTGTGATGGTTCTTAGGCTGATGCATTATCTCTCTTCGCTGAGAAAGCTTTTTTGGAAGGTTTAAAAGCATTGGTTTCTAAAAAATTAATTTAAACAAATTAGCAAATTATTTACGCAGTTTTTTTAAAACCATTATGCAAATAGAGTTGAAAAATATTTTGCTATAAAATCAATCACTAATCTACAAGGACAACAAATGTTGAGACATCTGTTGTCCTTGTAGCAATTAGTAGAGACAATAATGTTTCTACTCATTGGATAAACATTCAAGACATATTAGTGAGAATAATAGGGCAGTTTGACAACTTGCGAGAATACTTTTTAAAAGTTCTACCAAATCAAAAAAAAATTAATTGAAAAGCAGGTATTGCAACAACTAAAAGGCTATTGTTGTTAATTGTTGCATGTTATTGCATACTCTGCCATTTTTATTGCTTATGATATCAAAGGGTTTACAGTTGCATTAAAACAAAACGGTCAATGATTACACTTCTGCTCTCTAAGATGCAGAAACTTCTAATGGATTTGCTCTCAAAGTTTGTTATTGATGATTTGATTTATAGTAAAAAAGGTAACGAAAAGTGCATTTATTCATGTTCTATTTGTTTTTTCTCCATTTAGCATCTACATTTAAATCTCCATTAGCATCTACATTTAAAATCTCCATTAGCATCTACATTTAAAATCTCCATTAGCATCTACATTTAAAATCTCCATGAGTTTGTTATTGATTGATTTGCATTTATAGTAAAAAAGGTAACAAAAAGTGCATTTATTCATGTTCTATTTGTTTTTTCTCCATTAGCATCTACATTTAAAATCTCCATGAGTTTGTTATTGATTGATTTACATTTATAGTAAAAAAGGTAACAAAAAGTGCATTTATTCATGTTTTATTTGTTTTTTCTCCATTAGCATCTACATTTTCAAGACATTTTATGAAAATTGTTATTGTTTTTAGAACTAATTTGAACTTGGAAAGAGAACTGCTGTGGAATTGATTATCTTGTCAGCGAGAAAGTTTTTGTCCAAAAGCTGTACTTACCCATTGAAGAATTTTTCGCCAGAGAATTTTTCCAAGAGAGTTGTTTTTATAAACACTTGTCATTTAACTTTGCATTTGTATTTCTTTAAGCTATTAATTGAGTTTCAAACTATCAAACAAAGCTATCAAATGAGTTTCAAACTATTCAAACAAAGCAAATCAAACAAGCTAACAAATCATATTGCATTATTAAATAATTATATTTAAAAGAAATTTTAAACATACTTATTTGACTTCTCCTTAGGAATTACACTAAGTTGACTTTTTTTTTTTTAATTATAGGATATACGTAATGTGAAATACTGACAATCTGAGGAATATGTTGGTTTAAAAGCAGTTGATGCAATAGGCCAATTATCAAAGGAAGTATTTTTAATGTTGAACTTATTGGTTAAAAATTTCCTTAGGAAAATGGTTTTTTTAAAAAGAATTTCAAAATAAGAAACTATTAGATTTTTTAAAGAAAGATGTATTTATCTTAAAAATTTTAACTCTTTTTTTAAAATCTAGACAACGAGTTTAACAATGAGTTCTTGTAAAATTACCTTAAGTAACTTTTTGTTGATAAAAAATCCTCTTTCTGAATCTGCATTTTCATTTGGAAGAAGTAAGATTGTTAATGCCAAATTGGCTATATGAAATTACTTTGCACTGTCATTGTCATTTTCCAAACAGCAAATCTAGTAGAATAACTGCTAATTCTTTATAAAATGAAGAAAAAGTATGCTGATTTGATTGATTTTTTTTTTTTATGTTCCTATAAATCATATAAGTATTGGACAACTTATCATAGCAAGTATGGGATATCAAATACAAACACTGTTATCAGTGTAGATGTCGAAGAACATTGCAAAAATGTGAGATAATTGTTATTTTGTAATTTTTTTCTGATGCATAAAATTTTCTTTTTATTTAAAAAAAAAAAAAAAATCAATCAAATCAGCATACTTTTTCTTCATTTTATAAAGAATTAGCAGTTATTTTACTAGATTTGCTGTTTGGAAAATGACAATGACAGTGCAAAGTAATTTCATATAGCCAATTTGGCATTAACAATCTTACTTCTTCCAAATGAAAATGCAGATTCAGAAAGAGGATTTTTTATCAACAAAAAGTTACTCAAGGTAATTTTACAAGAACTCATTGTTAAACTCGTTGTCTAGATTTTAAAAAAAGAGTTAAAATTTTTAAGATAAAATGCTAATTACCATTTTTCCTTATTTATTTTTGTTTAGAAAAATCAGAACAACATTAGTGAAGATACCCTTGAGTTGATTTTAATCATTACCCAGCCAACATTGACAAACGGGTACCGTATGGTTTTTGTCTGGGCTTACAGGAATGGGATTTTGACAGGTAAATGTTTTGGTTTCCAGACGGATCCCATATGGTAAAAAAATCAAGCAAATTTGCTTGATTGGGTTTTATCTGGTTTTTATCAGGACCAATGGGTCTGATAAAAATCTGGGGATTTGACGGGTTTCCCATAAGGTTTAAACTAATAATTTAAAAAATCATTACAAAACTTACCCGATGGTTGCCATTTATAATTCATTATTGTGAGTTAAATGAATTTAGAAAATTTAACTTTTATGCATTATATTTTTTGTATACATTATATTTATATTTTAGTTAAAGAGAAATTGTTTTTTCGGTGTATTTTTTCACTGTGAAACTCTATTAAAAAGATGTCGTTTTAGAATTTAATTTATTTATTACCACTATAAAAGAATTTTTTTTTCTTTAACAAATTTTACAAAGTTTAACATATATGTTTAACATATGTTCCAGTAACTATTAAACAGTAATAATTATTCCATTGAGAAACTGTTTGCAGTTTAAAATGATCAAAATTTAGAGTTTTATTTCTGCTAGTGATTGTAATAACTGCTTTAAAGTTGCTCAAAAAATTAGTTTAGTTAGAAACATTCTAGAAGAGTAAATAGGCAAATATTGTGATGGATAGGTTATATTTAAGGAATTTAAAGCATTTAAAGGGATCCCTAAGTGCTATAAAAATATGATCTCATATGAAAGAGCATTAAAAAAAAAAATGTTTGATGTATATTATTTTTTCTAAAACGTAATAATAAAAACACTCTAACAAATTTAATTTTCAAAAAAACTTTTCCTAGATTAAAAAAAATGAGTCTTGTTCTAAGTTTATTGACTCTATGCCTCAAAAAAATAACGTTTGTACGCCAAATTAAACAAAGTAGACAAAATATCATCATTGCGAGCGTATTAGTTGGTAACTTAATTTTTTTTAAATAACACATAATTACTTACAAGAATAAGTTTTGTAGCATTTTGTGAAAATATATTTGTACATTGAAATTTTTTTTATAAATTTTATTTATATATTTGTGTTATAAGGGCAATTCCAAGGCCAAAAATGAATAGAAGTCAAATTTTAAACTCTTTTTAGTCAGTTTTTAAGAAATGAATATTGATGTAGACACATGAAAACTTTATTTAAAATATTTCCTTAGTACAAAAATAAATTTATTTCAGTCATTTTTATGGCTTCGAAAGTGACAGTTATTCTCATTTTCGCTTGATAAAAAAAATAAATAGTTATTTTTTAAAATGTTTTA